GAAGCAGGAATTGAAGCCTAAGGAGGCATTGTAATCTGCCGAGATACTCAGGCCCTCAAGGCCTTATGCACTCAGAAGAGGTGCCTTTGGGAAGTAACTGGGTCATGGGGGCTCAATCCTCCTCAACGGATCGGTCCATGATGAGTTTACAGCTAAATGTGATATGGGGAGGAACAGCCTGGTTGGAGGAAGTCAGTCACCTGGGGCGTGGCCTGGGAGGGTGTATCTCCCTCCCTCCGCTCTCCACTTCCTGCCGCTATGCCCTGAGCTGTCTCTCCTCTGCTCCGCCCCTCTGCCTTGCTGTCCTGCCAGGGATCCAGCCAACTGTGGACTAAAGCTTCTATGAACTGTGAGCCAAATTAAGCCTTTCCTAACTGAGAGTTGTAGGTGCAAAGTATTATGTCTCAGTGATGAGAAAGTAACTAAGGCATGATGTTAGTTAACTCTTTGTCACTGTGACAAAATACCTGAGACAAACAACTTACAAGGAAGAACAGCTGGCAGTATTCTGGCTCATGGTTTCAGCCCATGGTGGATTGGCTTACAAGGCTTTTGGGCCTGTAGTAAGGCAGTATATCATGGTGGGAACATGTAGTAGAGGAAGCCTACTCACCTCATGGCAGCCAGGAAGCAGAGGGGAAACACACTTTCAGTGACCTCACTTCTTTCCACTTGGCCTCTTAAAGGTTCCATCACCTGCCAACACCACCTTCAACACATGGCGTGGGGTTTACGGGTCTCTTGAGATCCAACTTAGCATTTATATGTGAAAATCATGCTTTGGGGACACAGTCTTTCACCTATGTTCAGGAATTTTCCATTTGCAGTCCTCTCTCTTCAAGCCAATTCAGATATACTCATTTTTGTAGCTCTGATCTCTGACTTAATCTGAAAATTAAATTGAAAAACAAATAATTGGATTGATATATTCATGTTATCCCCTAATCTCAGAAATTTATTTACATTCAACAGAAATAAAATGTTATGATAGAAAGTCATAGCTCTTAATTATACACAAGAAAGCCAAACCATAGAGGAGACATTTTGGATGCTGACATGTTTCTCTTTAGTCATTCACCCTCACCCTATTAAGAGTGGCCTGCTTGTCTGTGTAGACTTGATGGTAAGTTGTCTGGTTTTGTTTTTTTTTAAGTTGCAAGAAACAGAGATTTGTTGGTGTTGTCTTATGTAAGGAGAGAATGTGGAAAAATACAGGAGTCTTAACCACTGGATCAGACCTTGTAGAAAAAGAGCAACTGCAACAGATCCAGGCCTCCCAGATGCTGTGATATAGTTCAGAAATGGCAGAGTGACAGAGTTATTAGGCACTGAATCAGGGACACAACCTTCTGTTTCCTCTGCCAGAGCCAAGTTCTCTCACTCTGTTTTTACTGCATTTATTTTCACTAACATTCTTCATCACATTGTGCTAATTGTACTGATAATATGGAAAATATAGAAGGTAAAAGAAAAACCAAACCACCATTCAAGATTCTCTGATTTATTTTTTCTATTTAGCAAATGGTATTGGAACAACTAAATAGCCAACAACAACAACAAAAAAGGAAAATTTCAACATTACCTTATGTCATAGACAAACATCAACTTAAAATGTATCTTAGACCTAAATCTAAAAACAAAAAGTATAAAAGTTCTATACAAAAACATAGAATATCATTTTGACTTTGGAATATGCAAAAATTTCTTACATAGATTATGAAAAGCATACAAATGTACCATACTAGTTTAATAACAGGTAAAGCTGAGTGTGGCATAAATAAGAAACTGCTATGCTATTTTTGCAAGTTTTCTATAAGTTTAAAACTGCTCCAGACTAGATACTATATTAAAAAGTATCAACCATTAAATAAAAAATGAATAAATCAGTCAATTACAAATGTGCTGTCTGAAGTACACTATTGTGAAAATGGAAAGACAAATTATAATCTGGGAGAGAATTTTGCAGATCACATATCTGACAAAGGAATTGTATACAGCATATATAAAGAACTCTCAAATACCAAGACTAAGAAAACTCTATTTTAAACAACTATAGTGGCCATTTCACTAGAAAAGATATATGTAAGGCATATACATACAATAGGCATTACAGAAATAAGATACCATTGCACATCTATGAGAATAGCTAAAACTTAAAAACAGACAATGCTACAAGCTGAGAAAAATAAAGCAACTGGAATTCTGGTAGAAACGCTGGTAGAAATGTGTTGCTGGTAGAAATACAAAGTGATACAGATTCTTTGAAAAATATTTTGACTGTTTCTTAAACATATACTTATTCTGTGACCTAATAATTCCTCTCCTAAAGTGTTTACTCAAAGTTCATAAGAACTTATGTGTACACAGATGTTTGTGGTCATCAGAAGCTGTAAACAACCCAAATGTCTATTAAGTGGTGAATGAATAGATTGTGAAACATTCATACAATGTACTATTCCTCAGCAATGAAATGAATGAAGTTCTGACACAAGCATCAGTGTACTTCAAAACTGAAAAAAATCAGATGCAAAAAGCCACATACTATGTGATTCATTTAACTGAAATTCTGGAAAATGCAAACCTTTTGTCAGTGGTATGGTCTAAATATTTGTAACTTTCCAAAATTTATGTTTTGGAAAGCTACTTCCTAATGTGATACAATTAGAAGGTGAGGTTAGAGGGAGGTGATTATATCGAAAGAACTCCACTTTCATAAATAGGATTATTGCCCTTATAAAAGGATCCCAGAGAGCTGGTTCTCACTTCTACTACACGAGGACACAAAAGGTGCTATTTATGAAGAACAAGACCTCACTAGGCACCAAAAACTGCTGGCAACTTGGGCTTTCAAAGAACTGTGAGAAATTTCTCCAGAGCTGTGAGAAATGATTTTCTATTGCTTAAAGGTTACCCAGTCTAAAGTATTTTATTACAGCAGCCCAAATGGACTATGACAGTCAGGGACAGGGAATACAGGGTAGGTACTGATTACAAAGGAGCATAAGAAAACTTTCTGGGATGGTAAAAACAGTCTCCAACTTCACAATAGTGGTGGTTGCATGATTGTATACATTTGTCCCATCCAGCCAATATATATATATAGATGGATATGTATCTATATAGGTATCTATCTATCTATCTATATATATATATATAAAACTATATATACCTATACACACTCACACACACACACACACACACATATATATACATATATATATATATATATATCTACAAAGCAAATATTAATGTATATAAATTATACCTGGATAAATTAAACTTTAAACAATAAAAGTAAGATCACATTCTATGCTGTTTTATAGATTGCTTCTCTTTTTTGTTTAACATCAGACCATTAAATGTGTCACCATAACATGACTTTAATGATGACATAACATTTCACTGTATAACTTGTTTATTTTCCTATTATTGGATATTGCTTATTTCCAATTTTCTCATATATATATATATATATATATATATTCTTACATGAACATTTAATATTAATTTGGTCTTTCATCTCATTATTAATTTAGAACAAAATTATAGATGTGAAATTAATGGCCTCATAGTATAAGCAATAGTTAAAAGTTGTGGATATGTATTACCAATTTGCTTCCCAGAAAAGATGGAAACAGCTTACATAGCTATCATCAGGTGAGTGGGTTTATAATGAAATCTTAGGCATGTCCTTTTGTAACATGAAGCAATAATACAAAAAATTTATTCAAAGTATTTGAGGGAGACAGCCTCATAACTCTCAGATTTAGGGCACCAAACTAAAACATCAGGAAAATGTCCAGCTTAGTGGCAAAAATGAACAAATCTACAGCAAAGAGAATCTTCTGTAAAATTTCCAAGGGCCCTTCATAATCAGTTTTCTTGAATAATATTTTTTTTGTCTAGAAGAGAGATGAGTGTTTTATCCATGTATAGCCTATTACTTTGCATAATGAAAAATATTAACAGAATAATTCATCAGAGTCCTACTTATACTTCTATTTTCAGTAGCAATTTACTTCAGCTAAGATACCCACTTCTTTCAGCCATCAGTACCAATGACAAGTAAGAATATTGATATTTTCATAAGAATCTTTGAACATTACCAATGCTATATTTTATGATAGAATGCTAGCTCACAATATTCTTTCATGTGTTGGTCTCTATATTAAAAGCATGTTTATGCTAATAAAGGACTCTCTTTTATAATAGAATAATATTAGAATTTTATAATAGAATATTAATTTTCTAATCAAGGTCTGTTATGGCTTGATATCCCCCCAAAGCCTCCTGTGATCAGAGGTGTGGCTTTTCAGAGGTAGCTGGATCTAGAGCATGTGATACTGAGATTAAATTAGCCCACCGATTGGTTTGGCATCGTTCTGGGTGTGGATGATGTGGATGTGAGAGCTACTAAAAATGTGTAGCCTGAATAAAATATAAGGGACAGGAAGAGGACAGCTACCATTGTTTGCCACTTGCTGCTTCTTCATGCTTCACTGCTTTGCTGCCTTCTGCCCACCATGAACTGTTTCTCCTCTGTGATGCACCCCCCGGCCTTGCCACCTTGCCTTGCAGCCAGCCAACTATGAATTCAAACCTCTACAAACTGTGAGCTAGAGTATGCCTTTCCTCCTTTAACTTTATATGTTGGGTATTTTGCCTCAGTGATGAGAAAAGTAACTAAGACAATATCCCTATTCACACATTAGCTCTGCTATAATAAACACAGTTCTCACCTTACATTTTAAACAGAAAGCAACCAAAATATAAAAAGAACTAAAACTTGACAAAATTAAATTCCATTTAAAAATGTCCTCATGGTGAATAGAAATTGCTGAACCTGGATCATATGATCTTGAATGCTGATCATCATTTTTCATCACTGAATGAAAGATGAACAGTGTCTACCTGAACAGCTCCAGCTGAAGCCCTTTCCTGAATTATTCATGTAGGCATGAATTTCAATTGTACTGATTCACGTAGAACTTTAACCTACATCATACGATTTCAGAATAGAAGGATCCTTGATGTGCCCAAAGCTCACAGAGGGTTGGCACTTGCACAGATGGTGAACTTGGGTTCCAAACCTTACACTCTCCAAGCTCAACCCCATTCAGCCTCCTCTCTGCTCCAACTTGGCCAAGGTAGTATATTTGACTGTACATGTCAGTTTTCTCCTGTTAGAATGTTCAATCTGTGAAATGGATTAGAATCATACCAATGAAAGTTCTATTCCAAACCATCCTTAATATTTCATTACATCTTCCAGGATTCAGAGAACAGATCCAACTTCTAGAATCAAAGAAGCATATTTAGGACTTTTAAACAATGCATACCAACATTTCATGTTCTAAATCTAATTTTATTATCTATTTATTTTTGTTTAGGACTTATCTTTTAGGGGTAATATTACATTTTAAATAAGCAATAAGAACAACACATCCCTCCACAATGATCCTCTCTCCTCTTCTTATCCCTCTCTGCTCCTCTCCTCTCCTCCTCTCTCTCTCTCTCTCTTCTCTCTCACGCTTTCTCACTCTCTCTCTCTGTCTCTCTCTCTCTCTCTCTCTCTCTCTCTCTCTCTCTCTCTCTCTCTCTCCCCCTCCCTCCCTCCTATAGACTATTGCTTGGTATACTGACCTATCCTAGGTGTCATTAATGCAATTTCTGATGCATAAATCTCTGGCAGCCAACTATTAATCCTAGTACAAGCCAAGCCCTTCCTCCCAGGGCTGCAATGCCAAACCATGCACTTGTACCAGGCTTCCCAGGCATTTTTAGTAAGTCCTGCCCAAAGCAAAGTTGATTGTCCCTGCAGCCTGCTCTCCTCTTCAGCCTAGTCTCCCGGCTTCTCATCTTTTCCCATGGCTCCAACTACCCAAGAAACCCACTCTGTGTTGATTTGCCACAACAAAACACTCCGAATAACAAACGTTTAAAAAACACTAAACCTTCCCAAGTAAATAGATCATCAGAGAAAACAGAGCAGAGAATCAGCTGATGTCGATTCTCTTTCCAGCTGTATCTTGGGTAAAGACCTTTGGCTCTCTTGGCCACAACAGTGAATGGCTGGGCTGGATTGGGTTGTTTCTGAAGGTTGCTCTGAGATGCACCTCTCAAGGTCCAGCGGGCTTCTTCTGCCAAGGACTTTAAGAATGTGCAGTGAGGTTCCCAGCCAACCAGCAAGCTCCATTCAAAGGCCTAGAGAACAATCTGTATCTGCCTCTAGGTTTAGGTAGCTACCCAACTGATTTGTCCTTTGACCACCTACTTCAGCAAAAGGCCAATGAATGTTTGGCAAACTCATAGGTTCTACAGTTTTGATGGGCTTTTTCTGATTTGTTTTGCTTTAAATATCCAGATGAGGAGTAAACTAGATTTTGAAAAAAATATACGTATGATTCACCAAGGCAATGGACACATCCAGGAGTCCTTTCTCTGTAACTTTTCCATCCCAACTGAAAAGTGAGAAGGCTGAAAACTACACAAGATTTCTCATGTTTGGATTTATGAAGTCTGCTTTTTACTGGCTTGAAAGTCAGTTAAGACAAATGTTATATTAAATCATGCCTTTCATCTGCTTGTGGAGATTACAAGAGGAGACACATGCAATGACTTTAAATCATAATCCAAAATGCCATAAGATCCTCTACCAAGCTAAATGTTATTATTACAGGACGAAAGGTATGTGTGCTTTTGTTTACTCACTCCCAGGCTTGTTCACTTGCCAGACATGGAACAAACATCTATGCTACACACAGTAAGAACTACAAAGGTACACAAAACATGGTTCTTAAACTAGTATACATATATATCCCCCCCCTTGGGATTTTGCAGTCCTAGAATAGGCTCCCCTAGGGGTTGATTAATTTATTTCACTTCCTCTAAAACTGTTTATAAAGATTAGTGGAGGAGGTGGGATAAGACAGACATGGTTTCAAATCTTGTCTCTGCTACTTAGCCTTAGCACATTCCTTAAGCTCTTTAAGCTTTATTTCATTCACATATTAAAAACAGATGATAATTCCTAGTTCATAGATTGGTTGAGTTTTGTTTAAAAGAAAAAAACAAGCATAAAGGGATGGGAAAAATACCTGTTGCGTGATAGGATTTAACTGGACATTGGTTTGTGATTTCATTATCCTGCATCTGTCTCGTCATTTGGCCCCATGGGCAGTGAGTTTGAGGCATCATTGCGCACCTCACAAAACCCACAGCACCCTTTCACACATACCACTTGGAGAGAATTTGTCCTCATGTACCTGCATCAGTTTGATCCTAACTGACATTTTATGTTCTGCAGCTGTTCTTTGCTTTCAACACTTGCCAATATAAAAATTCCAAGTAAGCAAACTGAGACTTTATAAAGTTTCTTACACTACTACTAATAAAACTTAACATTTATTGACTGCGGCTAAATAGGTTCCAGGCACTATTCTAAGTGTTTTACATGTGTTACCTCATTTAATTCTCACAAGACTTCTATGAGGTAGGTGCTATATTGTGCCTGTTTTTACAGCTGAGTAAACTGAGGAACAGAGAGGTAAGTAGCTTGTCAAAAAGGCCTGCTGCTAGTAAGAGAGGAAGGAATTTTTGAGGTAGGCAACCTGTCTCCAAAAGCTTCTTGCCCAGGGACTTGAAGGTAGTGATTAAGAGCTGGTATTGGGTTTCAAGTACAATCATAAGTGATATCAAAGAGATTCTGCTACTTTATTGTATCACAAAATGCTAGGAATTCATCAAAAATTTACTTGAGAACTTTTGGTTAAAAAATCATAATTCCATTACAAATTGCTTCTCTTCACATGAACCTGAAGTAGTACAGCTGCTACTGCAAATCGGGGAAGCCAATGTTCCAGGTCTGTCTGAACTCCCCCACAAAGAATTTGCTCACTCAATATCATTGGGCATCATGCTTATTTAAGGCTTGCGATGTCTTAGTGATATACTGTATAGACAAGAAAGGTGAATTCTGCCAGTACGAAACTCACAGTCTAAGACAAGGGATACGTAAGAAGATGACCACAACTTCCCAAAACTTGATCTGGAGAAGAACCGTGGGCAGGACTGTTTGGCAGTATTGACTGAAAGAGATCATTTTCTGGGATCTTGTGAGCCAGTAAATTCACTCCTAGCTATATACTCTTAAAAAAAAGAATACATGCATATATGCTCACTAAAAGATTTATCCTAGAATGTTCACTGAAGCTTTATTTGTAAAAGTTGAATAAATTTATTTTGGAATATTTACATAATAGAAATCTACAAACCAATCAGTGACCTACAATTACATACAACAACATGGATGGATGGAGCTCACAAATATAATTTTGAGTAAAAGCAGCTAGGTGCAAGACACATAACCCCAAGTCCAAAAATAGTCAGAAGTTACTGCTGTACAGAATAAGAATAATAATAATGGTTATCTTGGGTAAGGGGAGAGGAGTGGGTAGTGACAGACAGGCATTTGAGGGTAATTTGGGGACAGTGATGGAGAAACTGCAGCCCAAAACCCACTTACTGATGACAAAGGGCTATATTATTCAATTAAACCTGAATACTGAGGTTCTGTTTTAGAAAAAACAACTCTACATTATCATTTGTCTGAGAAGAAAAACACAATAACACATATCATAGGTTCACCACCACTGCTATGGTGTATTAGTAGTACTTTTCCAGTCTAGGTATGAGTTCCATGAATCTACTGTATTGTGAAAATTCATCAAACTTATAATTCATAAAACTTATAATGCTAACAATATATGTACTTTTGTACCTATATATTGCTCCCATAATTTGAGTCTGTTATATAACTGTGTTATACCTTTTCTCTATACTCTTTCTGAATTCTTGAAAAAAATCTCAACAAGTTTGTACACATTTTATGAAGTTAATTTTGCTACATGGATACATTTAACCTTTCTATCAATACTTTCAGAAGCTAAACAACCGCAGGACAATATTTCACATTCGCCAGGCTAATCATATTGTTTGATGTCATTATGAGCACTACCTCTGGCTATTTAGCATTGAGCTTTGGATGTGTTTTATCATGGCTTACAACGTTAGACCAGGCGAAAGAGAGCACTGAAATGAGAAGTCACTACTTTTATGAAATCTGCATTCAGGCTAAGTTCTGAGGTCCCTGTACTCGCGTGACTTCTATATAATGCTTTCCCAGGAAGTGCTTTTGTGTTAACTTCAAATACCACAACTTTGGCTTTTGCACCAGCTTAGACTATGGGCTCTTATTCTTTGCAGTAGGAGGAAATCACAACTGAATTATAGGCTTTATATCCAACATCTAAAACTATGTTAATGCTTCAAATGTGAAGATAGTGTTACTTTTAGTAATGCTTTTCTGCTACTGTATTTCAAACTCAGCTATTGTACTCATTTTGTTTCCTATCCTGCCTACAGCACAAGTTCACATCAACTAATTCTATTCTGGTTCCATGCATGTAAATTGACATGATTCCTCAGAACTTATTCCAAGTGAAAATTTAGTGTAAAACTTTCACAAATTCCTGAATCAATAACTGTATTACTTTTATAAATTTTCAGCAAAGTATATAATGGAACATTTTAGATGTTTTTCAGAAATATGGTAAAAGAAGATTCAATTTTTTGAAGAAAACTTCTAACAGTGAAATTGTACTAAATCAATTAATCCAACCTCCTGTTGTATAGTTTTTCAACAAGCTAAAAGAACTATTTCTTTATGTTTTCAATTTAATTCACTTGAAAAGTATTTTCCCAGACCATGGTGTGTCCTTGGCTGAAAAAGCTGGAGAGTTTAACTCCCGAAGGGCCACTCTTGGCGTATACCTCATTCTCAGGTGCATGTAATAGCATTTACTAAGCCCTTCCTATGTCTCTAGCATTAACATCCCTTTCAACCTTTATATTAGCCCAATCATTTCTTCTTACTAACCACCTTTCACCGTGGAGGCGGCTAAGGCACAGAGAGTTTAATTTGTTTACCTAGAGTCCCCATACTTCCAAGTCATGGAAATTCCATCCCAGGCACTATAACTCCACAGCCATTCACTATGCTACTCCGTCTACTGTTAGGAACTTGGGTACAAGGGCAACTCGGCTCATATCATATTATAAATCCTGCTCTTGCAACAGTTTGCTAATACTCCGCTTCTGTGACTGGAATGAAAATTCCAGCCCTGCCTCTAGGATAGGCTACAGTTGCTATTCACATAGATAACAGAACTCCCACTTCCTTTCACAGTATGACAGAATGGGAGCTTTAGATCTTTCATTATCACCACGGAGGGACCTAGGTCAGAATTCAGAACCAAATTTGGATTTTTTTTTTTTTTTGAGACAGTCTTGTTAAATCACTCAAACTGCTCAAACTTGCTGTGCTGGGATTACAGGCATGTGCCACCATGCCCAGGTTTGATGCACTCTTAAAGAAGTCTATTAGGTTTTGGCTTGAAGCACCACTCTAGAGATCTGATAAAAAATTAAAGAGTTGATAGGACATAGACTTTCAAAAGAGCACAAACCAAATCCCAAAATTTCAAGTTTTAAATTCACAACAAATTCAAAATGTATCAAATTGGAAATTAAAATGTTTTCTGATTCACATGCAAACACAAAATCCACTTAAAAGACTTTCAATATCATTAGAAGAACCAGACATTGTGTATTCTCTAAAATTTATTTACAATTAATAAGTTAAAAAGCAAATACAACCAAATTGTAAATCTTAATTATATGTACATTAAACTGTCCAGGGAAACACTTCAGTTCCATTACAAACAACTGCTTTCTAGTGCACTTAAGACAAAACAGTTTATCAAAAAATATTTTAAAACCAATAAATGTTAGGTATGTATGTCCATTAAAAAATTACCAATTTAAAGAGTGCTGCGGCAACTCTAAAAACAACAAAGAAACTGAATCATTCAAAATTATTTTGATTTTTTTGTATTCAAATTTTTTATTGACTTTTCTGAAAAATAGTACTATCATTTGCACATAGCGAACCAATAAGTATCAGCCACCAGCTTAAGTTACACTTGTCCAGTAGAATACTCAAACTTAGACAAAATAAATACACACCACAACAGCAACACTTTGCACCATTAACAGTGAAGCTCGCCCTCAACGATCAAGTTATCGGTTTTAGTGACAAAAATGAGTTGCTGGGTGTCAAAGGAGGATTGGGAATCTCAAAGGGTTATTGGAGGTGTCACTCACCACGCACAGGCTTTCAAAAGTCAGAACTTAAATAAAGAATACCATGGTGATAAATTTCCTCCCAGCCTCCAGAGTACTCTACTTGTGCCACATGAAAGGTAAGAGAAGGCAAGAGAAGAAATAAAGGTCATGAGACTTCTTCAAAAAACTATACACAAGCTAAACTACAGACCTTTCGAGGACAGTAAATAGATGCCTCATTACGAAGGCCACTATGCCAAGTTTCTTTCCACGTTCGGCCCAAAGGTACTCCTAAAATACTTTCACTTTCCTATTACTAGTCAACTATGTTTTTTCACATTTTAGACGTTGTGACATAGGTTTTGCTAAAGAAAATTTGGCGGAAATAAAGACTTTTTACATCTTCGCAAACTAGAAATGGCATTTTTTAATAGTCCGTGAACCATATTGAATTTAGAAAGGGAAATCAGATTCAAACTGTAATCTGACAGCCCACAGAAGCCAAAGAAGCATTTATGCAAGTTCAAGTGCACTAAAGTAACAAGGCCTAAGAGAAAAAAATGTCAAGAACATCACCTAAAATAAATGCATGGTGTTACTGGTTATGTTTTCAGTTGTGTGCTGAGTTTTCCTCTCAGCTAAATCTAATTTCAAAATCCTCTGCAAAACTATCTAGATAAGCTATATGTTGAAATTACATTCTAATATGGCCATTGGATTTATTTTTTAATTATTATAAAAACTATATACAATAGTGAAGTGGTACAAATACATTTTTTGCAGATGCAAGTTAGCTATAAAAGTTAACAATATATTTTTGGGAAGAAAAGCCTGTGTTTCTGAAATACAATTGGTAATGGAAGCTAATAACCAAAAGAGTATGTCTCAGCTTCCTATTACACAACTATATATTTAATACTCTCCATATTCTAAGTAATTATTCCTTTTTTTTCTTATTCATATGACAGTGTGGCAATGTACCGAGTAGTAAAGAAGACTATGAGACTTATTGGAAAACTGGCATAAAGTCATATATATGAATATATAAGATTTTTACAAAACAAGAACACTGAAATTAGTCACAACACTGCTACTATGGACCATTAAACTCAAAATAATCATTTTAGAAAGCTATGCCACTTGAATTCTAGGAACACAAAAGTCAAAATTGCAACTCATCATTCTCCAAGGCAGCTGCCGAGGAAAGATAAACCTTAGTATGGAGGATTTCACATGTCAAGTTTCAGCCCAGCATGGATGGTTCCATGGCAGAATACTCAAATTTGAAACTACAGTGATACAAAAACACTACTTGACCCTTTAGGTATTGCAGTAAAAGCTGGCTGTGGCACCACTGGCTAAAACCCAATAAGTCTTGCTGCCACCAACGACCAAGGCACTTGGATAATCAAGAATTCCATACTGGGCCATATGGTATACACACTTCTTAAAGTGTACAAGAAGGGTCAGTACTGTGTGACTTCTGTGGCCTTCACCTGTCAAACAATGACTCAAACATATTTAAGAAAGAAGATAAAAAAGAAAATTCACAGGAAAAAATTGTCACGATGTTTATAAAGGCAATGAATATTAACCTAGTCTGGGCATTTCTTGTTATCCAAAAACAAAACAAAGAAATGAAGACATCTATTCCTGTTACTTGATACCAAGAAATGCCCCCCACCCTCCCCTCCACAGATCATTATGTAATAGTTCTGCGAATTCTAACAGGTATTCTGTTTACCATCTTAATTACAATGTTGATGCACATTTAACTTTGCTATACAACTTCCACGTTAAAGTCAATTATTCTCCCTTAACAGTCCTGGATTTGTATGTAAGACCAGGACATGAAGCTAAAGTAGCTCCAAACTGGATTCCAGGCATTCCTGTAACCAACACCAGTTCTTCACAATTCACTCAGTTTTTAAAATCACAAGCCATGCTGTTTCAATGCACTTCAACTTTTATTCAATTAAAAAGAATTTAACAAGTCAACTTTTCCTCAACAGAACTTTATATAAGCATTCTACCGTTTTCTTTTGAAGCTCAGTAAATATAACATTAAACTTCAATATAAAATCCTTCAGAACGTTTCAACAGTTGTACTTTGCATCTCTTTGAAATCACTGAGCCCATGAAATTCAAAAAAGCATACAAATCCTGGCATTACTAACAATAGTAAGCTTGAGCCTCTTAAAAAAACATCCTTGGTGTAAGTTTTGGAATCCAGTAAAAATTAGGAAACGAGTCGGATTCAGAATACCCTGAGCACAAACTAGTGCAACACCACAAGACATGTTCGATCTTCTGTCCAGAAAGTAGGGTGCAGTCAGGAAGGGGGGAAAAGGGAGAGGAGGGGGGATGAAGAGCAAGTGATTTCTGGCTTTATTACACAAGCATGAAAACAAATTCCTTTGGAAAAGAACGACTTCTTCGGAGGACTTCCAGACCAGTGAGGTAGAGTCCAAAGGGAGAAACGGATCTGCCCCCTCCGTCCCGGAGAGGTTTCCAAGCGGGGCTCGGAAGCGAGGGGCGCCCCGCGGGTCCGGCCGTGTCCCGGTGCGGGGTGCGCGG